GCAGCGCGGCCATCGCCGCTTTAAGGGCGAGCGCCAAGGACGCGGGAGAGAAGCGGAACCGGCGGGAGAAGGAACCATTTTATTGGGACAAAGTGAGGGAACAGCGTGAAACGGGAGCCCCGGAGGGAGTACAAAAATAACGAGCGGGTTCCCCCACGGCCGGACACCCCCCAGCCCGTCCCGGTGGGCGCTGTTCGCCCCCCCGGAGCCCCGCGCCGGGATGGGCCGGAAAGAGGCGAATTTTGCCCCAAAACCGCCGCTCACAGCCCAGGTGTTTGCACCAAGCCAGCCCGTTGAGTTCAAGGAAGCGTTATAAAAATAGTGTTTAAAAAGAAGCGTAAAAGGAGGAGGTGCAGAGGGATGAAGTGTTCTCCAGACCCTGCCTCTGGGAATTCTTTCCAGACCAAGGTCAATCAAGTGTTATTTTGTTCCTCTCTTTTTAGGGAAAGGGGCGTTTCAGAAGAGGCTCGGAACTGCTGAAAAGAAGCGACTGACACTCGAAGGGAAACAGCCTCTGCCCTCCCCAACAGCCCGGACTGCCCCCCAGCAACCTCTGCCCTTCATTCATTCCCCTCCCTGCCCACGTGTGAACGATTCCAGGTCAAATCACAAAACTCAAACTCAGTTCCGAGTGAGCATCAACCACCAAGGACTTGATCCCTAGTATCCTGTTGCTCCTACCTTGCTGGCAGAGCCACAGAGTTTCCCAAAGCCTGAATTCCAGTGAGGCACAGCAGAGCAAACCTCTTCCTCCCAGGGAAGGCTCATCTCTCCCTACATCCAGCACAGTACCCATTTTACCCTCCCAGTTGAGGATGGGTCCACCTTCCCCTGCCTGGCAGCAGTCCTGCCTGTGAAGAACTTGTTTTAAGAGCTATTTCACATCCCCTCTCCAGGCCCCTGTGAAAAAAAGCAGTCCCCAAGGCAACCCAGACTAACTCCTCCTGACCCAAAGAACTGCTGCTTCAGCCAACCTGCAGCAATTAGGGGTGAATAAATCAGAGGTGGAAACATCTCAAGGGTGGACTAGTTGTTACATGGCCACAGAAGCAAGAAACCACTAGTTAAATACTACCTGACCTCCACAACAAGATCACCAAAAGCCTTTGAGGAGTGAAGCCAAGGAAACTCATAAGGACATGCAAAAGCTGGCAACAAGACTTTTTCCTCCCCTCATAAAATGTGGTTTTATTCTTAAATAAAGCAGAAAAATCTTGAAATAAAGAAATGGATGTCCCAAGTAACTGAAAAGTGGAACTCCTTTCAACTGCCAGACAGAAATTCTACCACACAGGAGGGGAAAAGGGAAGGACATAAAAACAGCTTTTCATGTAGGAACCAGCCTGTCTGTATCAAAGTTGTTGTAAGTTCTCCCCAAAGAATTCAATCAGTTTAGCAGCCATAGCCTGGATTTATCCCAGAGAACCTTTCCAGCAGCCAAAGCTCTTATCACATCCCATTAAGCCACTGCATTTAAAAGCACTCACCAGCACAAGATGGCACAACATAAGCCCTTCAGTTCCCACCAGCCACCTGCACTGCTGCTTGAGAAACCACCTCCTGGTGTCTTCTTCAAGTGTAACACTCTGGACCAGCACCTGGCTCAGAGCTGGGCAAGGCCACTGCAGGAGGTCACCCTATGCCCAAATGCTACTCTGAAAGCAAGCAGAAGTTCATCTCCAAGTAATGTTTTAACCTGAGAAGGCAACAGGCAAATCAGGATTATTTTAAGACAACTTCTAGCTATTCAGAGCAGGAACCCCTCATGGGTGCTCCTTTAATAAAATACAAGGCAAGGGAACCCTGCACTTGCCAGAGGACCCAAAATGGACAGCCCAGGTATCTGGGGAGGTGCAACAGAGCCTGTACATGGAATGTGAGAGAGCTACAGCAGTCTTCAGAGCAGTTTGAGGCAGAATTGTTTGGAGGAGATCCAATTCTGCCTAAGAGTTCAACCCTCTGGGTTCTACATTTGTGTCTACCAGGTAGCCATTTGGCCACATGAGGTGTGACTACTGGCCTCTCTAGTGCAGGGGACCCAAGAGCTGAGACCATGAGACCACCTGGAAAAGCTCAGCAACACAAGGCAGGAAGAGCTATCCAGTGGTTAGAGCATACAGGACACTACATCACACAGCTGTCCTGGCCTATCTGCTCTATATTTCTTGGAGGATTGCAATCTAAAAGGATTGCCTAGAGAGGGACACTGTTAGCCACAGGTAATAATTACAGATTGTTTGAAGTCTTCAGCTTCTCTTGCTCCACCACAGTAGCAACACCTGGCTGCACTAGTATCACTGGAGCATTTTCTGAAGAGGCAGAGGTTGCTTGGGATTGCCAGCAGGAACAGAGGCACATGCCACAATCTGTCCTCCAGCCTCCCTACCCACCCTTGTGAAAGTAACAATAGCATGTCAAGAGCCCTTCAGTGAGAGATAAAACACCAGTAAAAAAGCTGAAGGCTGACAACATCCCTCCTGCTAAGGTGATTCTAGGCCATCAGCAGCTCAAGTAGATCTTACAAAGACTGACCTTTAACAAATCAATACCCATAAATACCAAAAACTGCAGTGTCAAACAGCTATGCAGAGCTGAGCCAGCACAGCACAGCAAGAAAGGGAAAAGCACACTGGATTAGTGTTCACCCAAGAGCTTCTGCACCACCCAAGCACCTGGGTGGGGGCAGTTTCTCCCTCTGAGGACAGCAGCTTCTGAGCAGCTCAACCCTGCTGGCAGGTGAGCAGTCCTCTCCATAATTTGTCTTCATAGATGTTCTCGTAAGCCTGCTCTGCTGGATTTGAAATGCAGAAGTTTCCCTCTCAGGAGGGCCAAGTGTCCAGCTCAGGACGGTGACTCCCAACAGAACTGGTATACAGAGGAGTGGATCAGCCCCAGCACTCAGCTAATGACTGAAATGCTTGTGGGCCCACTGGATTACACCAGAAAAGGACTCTTCATTGTACACTGGACCTGTACAAGTCTTCAAGGTTACTGTGACCAGAGCTTACCTAGGGCAATATTGTGCAAGCCACTGAGGCAGAAACCCCAGTGCCGTGCCTGTACAAGCCCCTACATACATCTGTCTTCATTGCACACAACTAGATGGCCATCTCTTGTATTTCAGAATCCTGATTGTAGCTGGATATGCTCCAGCCCAGAGCCAGGAAAGCAGCTGGAGGCCTCCGTGCAGCAACAAGCTCCTGCTCTAAGGCTGTGTGTAGTAAGGCTCAACTTCAAACTGCACTTTCCTCCTTGTTTAAAGCCACCAGAGTCTTGGTTTCAAGGAGACCTTGTTGATAAGGCAGTTCTGGATTCAGGCAGTTTCAGTGCACAAAGCCACCAGCTGTCAGTGTCCTCCCAGCTCAGCTTCTCTTCTTCCCAGGCAAAGGGATCCAAACTGCCAGGTGACAATCACCAGAAGCTGATGCAATCATCTTCTTTGCCCACCCCAGGTATGGCCAAGTGCAGACACGAGGGAGAAGAGTCCAGAAGCCACCTGAATGGCAGGATGTGTGACGAGATTGGGATACATTCTGTTCACGGGAGGAAGATCCTTTTACACTCACCCACCAAAATCCACTGGACTCAGCCTGTCCCTTCCCCATCAGAAGTTAACTCCATGTGAGCTTCTTCCAAGATGGAGGAGTCCATCCCCTCCAGGGATATGCAGACAGGTGGTTTCTGTCTCTCCAAACTTAAAAGTCATTTCAATAGATACAAATAACTGCTTTTGGCAGCGTAGAGGCATTTGAGATTTGAAAACATCTGGAGTGCAGGACCCAAGTATATGGGGAAGTAATCGGTCCTTGACCTAATAAATAGAGTAGGAGGAAGTCTTCAAGGTGGCCAGTAGCCCAAACATAAAACCTGAAGTCCTGCAGAGACCACTAGGAACTTTAGTGCACCACACTGCATGGGGGCATCTCCTGGGATCCACTGCCACACAGTTTCTCTGACACCTTTTGTTAGGCTCATGAACTATTTGGAATCTTGAAGTTCCTTTGCCTTCTTCAAAATCAGATGGACATCAGAGATAGGATAATCCTGTGTCAAAGAAACCAAGTGATACAAGTGACAACCTGGTGTTTCTTGTGCACACTGTCTCACTTGAGCAGGGCAAACCCTGACAACAGCATTCTTGGCCTATAATAACCTAACATGCAGCCACCTTCAGTTACTCCCTGAACAACTTCCTGCTTTGTAACTGTTTGAGCCTCAGTACCCTTCAAGAAGGTTTTGGTGTGTTTATCTTTTAATTTGTCCTCTAAGGGTACAATGAGCTGGCCTGCTACAAGGGCTATCTTCATGCCAGAAAGCCTTATCAAAGCCAGTATCTCACACAGCCCAAAGCAGGAACTGGCAGAATCAGAGATATCCTACCAGGCAGTGCAGCTGTTTTCAACCTTGGGCTCTCACAGAACTGAACAAAAGCCTCTGGCCAATAAACTTAACACTCTTACATAGGGTTTCACATCCTTACTGGAAAATATTAATTTTCCAGCAAACTAAAAGATGCTAAGAACCTCCAGTCTGTGACAATTTCTCTGTAGGTCAGAATGGGTGCACAAGCAAAAGACTGACACTTCCAGTAATGCTCTAAGATGCCTGAAGATTTTTCTGCATCAGAAATGTGGTCCTTCTCTTCAGCCAGGCACACCCGTCTCTCACCACCACCCTCTCTCATGCTGCTATTTCAAGGCTCTTCAAATTACTCCACATGGCAACTGTATTTAATCCTTACCTGTAGCAGCCTCATGTTCAGAGTGAAGTCTCCTTCCAGCAACTGATCCCGGATTAGTCTGAAAGATGGAAATTATTCCAGCTACTTTGGACTTTTTACAGAGGAACTTTCAAAACAGACCATACTGTGCCCTTAAAGAGAGGCTTCTGAAAACAATTCTGCCACCATTGTGAACAGCAACTAGAACCTGTTCACCAGATGCCCTAACACATTCCTACAGAAGATTCCTGGGTCTTATGGAAAGGAGGGAAGAGCAGCGCAGCAGGAAGGCTCCCCGGGTACTTACGTCAACATGGCACAGCAGACAAGCAGCAGGAAATCGAAGCGTTTGTCGTCGGCGAAGAGGGAGTCCCAGATACGGATGACATCTGGCAGCAGGAACTCTTGGGACAAGAGCAGGGTCAGCCAGCGGAAGGCAAAGAACTGGGGTTTGATGTTCTGCTCTTGCTGTCAGACAAGCACCAGGCAGAGAATGAGTATGTGCCCTTGGCCAACTCCCTGCGAGTCAGAGACGCATCCCACAGCTCCAGCCCCATCTCCACCCGGACACAGCTCTGAGCTGCCAACTCCCACTGCACCAGCAAACCCTCTGCCTGCTCCCAAAGGCTCTCACACTCAAGATAGACTGGGAGAGATTTTCAGTGCAGCCATGCCACAGGTCTGCAGACAAGCCTGGAGAAGAGAATTCTCCAGGGGGACCTTATAGCAACCTTTCCAGTGCCTGAAGGGGCTTCCAGGAAAGCTGGGGAGGGGCTGTTTATAAGGGCTTGTAGTGACAGGATGAGGGGCAATGGCCTTAAACTAGAGCAGGGGAGATTTAGGTTAGACATTAGGAAGAAGTTCTTTACAATGAGGGTGGTGAAGCACTGGAACAGGTTGCCCACAGAGATGGTGGAGGCCCCATCAGTGGAGACATTCAAGGTCAGGCTTAACCAGGCTCTGAGCAACCTGATCTACTCAAAAAGGTCCCTGCGCACTGCAGGGTGGGGCTGGACTAGATGGTCTTTAAAAGGTCCCTTCCAACCTCACACATTCCATGATTCCATTAAAATGTTCTTCTGTCCACAACATGGAGCAAAGGAAGTTTTTCTCCCTACAGGAACTATTTATGTTAGTTCCGTTCAACTTGCCAAGTAACTTTAAGGTCCCCATTTGAAGAGCATTTTATCTGCAAAGCCACAGCCCTCCCCCTCCAGCAGAAGCACTTGTTTTGTCAGGATTTCCTCTCCCAGAAGCCCTATATCTATCAAAGGGTTTACTATTCATAAAAAGAAACAGTTTGCACTGATGGTCAGTAAAATATACTGTGAGAATTTCTAGCCTGAAGCTTCCTTGTTTTCTGCTGTTAAATCCCAGGGACCATAAGTTTAATCAAGGTCAAACGAGCTCAGGATCCTGCTGATATTCTTTAAGGACCAGCTGCTCCATGGCCAGGACCATTTCCTGCCAGCCAAACAGTAAGCAGTTTATTTTTCTCCCTACTGAGCCACCAAGGACTTGTCACTCTGCTGACAAACCATCTTAGAGATTATAAGATAAATATAACCTGAGTTTTCTAAACCCCCCTCAAAAAAAACATAAATCTGTGTGATTTGGTGAAGGTTGAAGTAACAAGAACAGCATTACCTTCCAAATTCTCCTTGGACTTTCACCTTAAGACCTAAAGATGTTTTTAACAAATGCCACCTTCTACATTTTCTACAAAACCTACACCAAATCAAGGCACTCAGAGACCCTTGGATGAAAAGGTCTTGGATGAATGAGGTGGGTGGGATGGTCCAGCTTACTGGATTTCACTTTACATCTGCAACAATCTCCATTCAATTCAAATTAGTGCTGTCAGGGCAGCCAGTGGCAATAGAATTGTGTGTGGAAGGGGGGGGCAGGTCTTTGTTTTGCTCTTAAAGACAGAGGCACAATTCCTGTAACCTCAAATTCTATGGCAAAACTCATGTTTTGCCTGATAACCAGAAAACAGTAAAGACCAGGGATTGTGGTCAAGTCACAGAGAGCTCACAGCTGGCAGCTCTGCAGCAACTATTGTTTGCTTTCAGTTAGGCAGGGGAGGAAAGCCTTGCTGTGTCAGCTTGCTCTAGGCTTACTCCAAGGAGAGGTTGTTCCAGCTCACAGATAAGAAAGCCTCTGTGCCCTACAAACAAAGCTCTTCCCACCCTTTCTCAGCCTCTCTACTCAAGCACAGTAACAGTTTAACAACACTGGCTGACATTTAAATGCAGTATGAAGCTCCTTGCCTTCCAACCAAGACTCAGAGATAACACGCAGCTCCTCACCAGTTTCAAATACAGCTCTACATCTTTCTCCTTCAGGGTGGAGTAGACCTTCTCCATTTTGTAGGTAATACCACACTGAGAATCATCCAGACTCTTAATGAAGTTGTCCCGAATTTCAGCCATGAGATTGGTAAAGCAGAAAAACGTGTCTGCTTCAGCATGCTCTGGGGAAAAAAACACACAAAACAATGGAGGAAGAGAGGAAACATCATTGATGGAGGCACACAGGCTCAGAACTGCTCTTATTCCATAATCTGGTTGCTATACTGGATTCAAATAACAGATCCCACAAGATCTTGGCTGGTTTGGTCTGGGACAAGATGAAACACTTAACTAGAAATGCCTAGAGAGCCGCTGCAGATACAGACCCTGTAAGCAACACAAGGTCTGCATGACACAGGCATAGGTAACTGGTCCATGCCCCTAAGGAAACCATCTGCTCTCCCTGCCATCAGCACACACCCTTGGAGCTTCCATGGAATGGAAGCAACAGGCAAAGTACCCCCATTCCATTCTTCCTTTACTAGGCACATATAATGCAAGCAAACAAGAGCTTTTAAAGATATTTCAGGAAGTACAATGTAGGTTCCTGCAAAACAAAAAAAACCCTCAAAAATCCTGACCAAAGTCCTCACTTCCCATGTCCTTACCACTCACAGCCCATTCAGTTTCTATCCATTTGCTGTGGTCCCCAAAATTCCTAATCTCTTTGCTTTTTGGCTCTGATCAGTCAAAACAGAATTGATTGAAAAGCCAAACCAGTCCTTTACCCAGAGAGCACACAGCACAACAGCCACTACTGAGAGGCCAAAGAGTCTCTCACCTTTCCACTCACTGTTAGGATCTGTAGCAAAGGTGTAGTAGAGAGGCCCCACGATTTCATTCATCCCCTGAACATAGGCTATCCCAGGGTTCAGCTTGGCATAGATGAAGAGGATCCGCTCCACCACCTCCCAGTGAGCTTCGCAGCCGTTGGGCAGAACCTCGTACTCACTCAGAGAGCTCGGTGTGGTTTTAAGAGGGGAGCTCACCTGAAGGGCAAGGCAAGACTCAGGATAACCAACAGGGAGTTCTGTACACATGGCAAGTTTGGCTTTTAATACTTAAAGCCCCTAGAAGATATGGGCAGTTGATACCAAGCAGGCCAGGTGTTCACATAAACCAAAACAAGAATCTTGGGAAGCACAAAGGGACTGAACTCCTGGCTGTTCCCGAGCAACAAAGCAGCCTGTAGCCACTGGATCACTGCACCACGCAGGCCCAGGCAGCATGAAACCAAAGCTGTTCCCCTTCTTTGTTAGTAGAATAAGGAAAAGCACAGATCTGTTGTGGTAGCAACCCACCTTCCCCAACAGTGGGGGAAGCACTTGTAAACACCCATGAAAGAGCAGAGAATCAAGATGCCCTTCAGCAGGCACCCAGCTCTTCTTCTAACTGCAGGTTTATGAGATCCAGTTCTAGACAGGCTGTGTAAATTCAACATATCAGCCCTTCAGTATTTTTTCCCCCCCTCCAGAAAGGCACATGTCAAGCATAAAAAAAAAACCACCACCCACATCTTCCTGCAATGCAAACTTCCACCAGAAGTCAGGAAAAAATAATCTACAATCAAATACACCTGTAAATCCCTACCAGCCATCAGGCACATCAACTGGGTCGACAAAGCTGCCTGGCCACCAGGACCTGCTGGAGTCTTTGCTTAATTCAACCACGCAAGCAGAGAAACAGAAAGACCAAGAAACACCCCCTTATCAGCCAAAACCCCCCTGCCCCCAGACAGCCCCACCCAGACCTTACATTTGTGACCCCGCTGCGGTTCCGCGCCACCGTCTGTGACTTGAGGGTGGTCTGCTCCACCCGCCGGCGCAGGGTCTCAAACTCATTCTGGGGGTCCAGGATCAGCAGGCAGGGATAGTCTGTGGGGCGCTGGAAGAACGCCATGTCAGGGTACAGCCTCCTGGGAAGGGGTACAGCAGGGAACCAGGCATAAGAAGAAGGAAGCACGTGCCCCATGTTGAACGGGAGGCTCAGTTTAATATTCAACTGAGTTTTCAAAGTGCAAAGTGTCAACCAAACTGCTCTGGTTCAGAGACCTGAGCCCTTGTGCTTCACAGACCTGACATCTTTGTCTATCTGGAGAAGCACTTCGTTATCCTTGAAGTAAGTATTCCATCGACTGTCTGGGTTGGGATTGAGAGGCTGAAGAAATAAACAACAGAAACAGAACAAGCATGTTTCACATGTATCAAAACCCTCAGTAAACACACTGATGTAACATCCCTGCTGTCCCTTTGTCACCTTCAGGTTTCATTTTTTCTCTCACTAGCTACTTGTAGTGTTGTTTCTGCAGTGGAGGATCAGAGCTCGTGAAACAAGTGAGCAAGGAGGTCCACTCAGAGAAGCAGAAGGCAACATTGCCAATCCCTTTTCACCTGCCTCTTAATGACTTTGTTCCCAAATCAGTTATCCCGTGTCAACAGACTCCTGATTGCAGCTCCAGCCTGCACAGCAGAGATGGTCTTTGTACTCAGGTAAACTCACACAGCACTTGGGTGTTGTGGTTACTAGCTACAAGTATCCTCACCTGTCTCAGCTCTGAGAAGACTCATTAAGCACCCCCACCATCCCCAGAAAGAAGGAAATGCACATTAACATGAACAGCCTATCCTGTATCTGACTCATTTTCCAATATGACAAACTTAACTCCTCCTCCACACACTTTGCTCTCTCCAGATCAAGATCCATGCAAAGTTAACAACTAACCAAGAGGAGGAAAAGAGGAAAAAAACCCAAACAACCCACAGCATTCCAAGACATCCCTGCAACCTGCCAACACGTGGAGTGTTACAAACACAATCTTTACAGCACCAAGGCCTCCAGAGACCCCAGCAGCCCAGATTCCTGCACACTAGCAGAGAAGTCAGTGCTCAGGACCAGTCATGGAAGCAGTTGTATCATTTTACAGTCTCTTCATTCATTCTCTCCCCCAACACAGAGAGTCTTAACAGTGCCTTCAGAGAAGGAAAAAGTCAAGGGATGCAAGAAATAGTGAAAATAATAAAAAAATACAATCCAGTAGCAGAACTAGAAATAAGTGAGTCCTCCTGCCTTTCACACCACAGCCCAACTCGACTCTGCTGCCTGTCACATCCTCTGTTCAGAGCAGCTTGCTCTGAGTCCACCCATGGATCTGACTCCCCAGGAGAGCATCTCTTTGCCAAAGGTGCCTCTTGTCACCTCTCCCTTTCCTCAGGAGACCTGTAGCTGGGCAGCCAGTCCCACAGGAAGGGAGAAGGGATTTGCATGGCAGAAAACATCTCTCTGCACACCTGCTGGTGCTTTGCCACTAACTCACACTGAAGGCTACCAAGAGACAAACACCAGGCTGGTCCCTAGGAACCGTGAGGGCAAAGTTCCCTCAGTCCAAGAGCAGAGCCAAGAGCAGCCCAGGGGTCTGGACTTCAGAACAACAGTTTACAGCTCTGGGGAATGTTCTGCAAAGCAAAGGCTTAACAGTACTTACGTGATCTTCCAAGGTCACATCTTCCCTAGAAACACCCAGGTTGGCTTTGGCAATCCCAGGCTGAATAATCATTTCCTTTAGGAATTGGGAATACAGATCCCTTAAGGAAGAAAAGGGGAATTGCCAATGAAGCAGAACATCAAGGTAACCTAAGCTCAAACAGATCTCTCTGTACCACCCTGCTCAGCCAGGAGGCATTTGATTTTTCTCTTCAGCTGAGTTCAGATGAAGAGGTCAATCCACCAGACCCAGGAGACATCCCAGAGAACAGTGCATCCCACACCAGAAGAATTAATGATGAAGGTATACTTAATTATTTAAGGAACTAATCTTCTGCACATATAATTAGAAATGAAGGAGCAAGTACCCATTTCCTCACCTCTGTTTCTTCAGCAAAGAGCTCCATAAGGCTTTCTCTAAAGGGAGGTAGTTCAGGAGTATCTGAACAGAAAACAGATGCAGACAAATTAGTATTTGGAAAATGAGCTGTTATACCTGTGAGATAAGCAAACCAAAAGCAGCAGTTAGAACTGGCTCTCTGAAAACACTGGGAGGTTTCTCTTTCTTTTCTCTTTGCCAAAAGATAGCCAGGAATATTCTGGGGACACAGGCTTATTTGTAGGCTTGATCAATAGCAAACCTGACTGAAATGCTCTCTTAGCTTAATGCTGAGGGCTGTTCTGATGCAAAGAGCAAACAGCCTCATTTTATTACCCAAAGCAATGGGTTCAGCGTCAGTAAATGCTCCTGTGACTGTGCCAGTGCTCATCTCCATAAATGACTGTTGACTGAGCAGCTTTTAAGCCCTTGTTTATTTGTTGACAGTTTTAAGTGCCCAAACCCAGCGTTGCACTTCAGCAACCCAAAGGCAGGAACCCAAAGCACCCCAAGCCCAACCCACCTTCCAGCAGAGGCAGCGCAGCCCACCGTCAAAGGGAATTCCTGCGGAACGGTAGGCAGAGAAACAGCGACGTGAGCCCGGCTCTCCTCGCTCACCACGCAAACAGGCAGGGCAGCACTTTACTTCCCTCAGGGCGAAGGAGTTTTCAGAGGGATCACCCACAGCACCAGGCCCGGGGCGGGCGCTGCGAGCAGAAACCTGGGGACCGTGCAGGGCCGGGGCAGGAGCGGTAAAACCCACCGACGCCTCCGAGAGGGGGAAGGAAGGGTTTGCCTGGAAGTTTGCGGCTGTGCCCAGAGGCCGGGCGGGGATTGCAGCGGCCTGAGGCAGCTCGGGCTGGAAAACACCCCCCCCAGCCTCGGGT